TATTATTATTATTATTATTATTATTATTGTCATTAATTGTTATTATTATTATTTTTATTGTTATTATGATTATTAAAAATTTAGAGATTTTCTATTTTTTTATTAAATTTATTAATTCATTTGCTAAATCTAGTCTAACAATAATAATTATTATTATTGAAAATTTACATTTATCTTAATTCAAATTGTTACAGCAATAGTTATCGATCAGCAAAAATTCAAATAACCATAAAATAACAATTTGTTGCTTTTTATTAGAGAAAAGAATACTAACTTACATGAATATTCCATCCTTCTTTTACTAATAATTTTACCAAACGTAAACTTCCAATATGTGCCGCATGATGAAGTGCTGTATAACCATACTTATCTTTATGATTACGATTTGGTTGATAACATTCCAAGAAATGTTGCACTAATAATTCTTGATCAGCAATTACTGACCACATAAAACATGAACGTCCATCACTATCATATTGCTCCTGAAATTTTATTTATTCAGTTTTCTTTACATTAACAATACTTTAGCAACAAATTAATAAGCAATGACCATTCGATCAATTCAATTCTTTTTGCATTAATTTTTTATGTCAATAATAGTTTTGGAATAAATAAATAAAAATTGACCATACGACCAGCAGAAACCATTAATCGGTCAACAACACTACGATGACCACTCTGTACAGCATAATGTGCCGGTGAAATACCGAAACAATCCCGCGTAGCATTTCGAGCTTTTGCTGCTAACAATTTCTTGACCACTTCATCGAATCCACGCTTTGCTGCATAATGTAGCGGTGTACGAGCATCATTATCAAATGTCTAGAACTTTTTTTTTTCTCGAATAATTTTCTCCTAATAGATGACCTTTTGTGATACCTGGGAATAAATTTCAAACTTAGCCATCGATTTATAAAAATCAAAAGTGATGAAATTTTCATATTTCAATCAACAAAGTCATAATACCTGAGAAATAAGTTCAATTAAACTTAAGTGATCAAATGATTGATTAGCTTATATACAGTATAACAAGAATGATTACAACATTTTCCTACGAAGAAAAATTTGAAAGTTATTCCCAGGTATCACAAAAGGTTATCTATTAGGTTCGCATAGTTCTTTCATATAATTTTGTAATTAAATTGTAAATGAATTAATTAATTAGTGAAGCAGAACGAAAAATATGTAAAATGAACCTCTGAAGGACATTCCAGTTCGTTGAGTAAAATATCAACAACAACCGTGTTTTGGGCAATTACCGCCAAATGCATTGCCGTTCGCCCATCAATATCACGGGCTGTTACTGAATTTATTTTTCGGCTTCCCAATAAACGCACAACTTCTGGTGCTATAATGAAAAAGAAAAGGAAATTAGTAAAATTTAAATTTCCCAAATTTCGCAGTAAATTTTAATTTTAATAATAAATTTACTTTATAATAATGAAATAATCCGAAAAGATATGGTCAATTTGTCATTTAAAATCAATAAAAATATTAATTGGAATTGGATGAGAATGTAATTCAACAGTGTGATAATTTTATGCAAAAGAATTGATAAATTTTTGTTTATTCATTTCTCTTTCTATTTTATAGTTTTGTCATTTGAATGAAAAATATAAAAATTTAAAATTATTTCATTTCTTCATTTCTTATTATTTTTAACTAATTAAATTTACGAATTGTTTTGTTTAATTTTGATTTTTCAGGAGGAAAAAAAAATTTTCTTCTTTTGCTTTCCCTTTTCTCATTTTCAAAAAACATGAATAAATTGAACCATCCGGATAACAACTAGCAGCAGCACACATTAATGGTGTATGACCATTCCGATCCTTCTGATCCACCGGTAATCCAAGTTTTTCATCAAGCAATACTTCACAACATTCCAATCTTGCAGTGCATGCAGCATAATGTAGTGGTGATCGACCGAAATTATCATTTACCATTTGATAAAAATTTTCACTATCTAATACGGTATATTGAAAAAACATCTGAAAAAAAAAAGAAATTGATAAGGTTGAAATTTACATTAAATTTGATGTGACCGATCTATTTGCTACATATTTAATTACACTTAAACTCCTTGAAATCATTTAAGAAACAAAGACAAATGATTTATGTGTAGTTGAAAAAAATAAAAATTTGATATGTACTGATATATCAGATGTATAATTTATATTAAACATTCAGTTAAATTCAAATTTTATGAAAATACAAGACGCAAAGAAAAAACGAAAAAAGCAAATTTTGAATTTTTCAGAAACAAAAAATATTATTTGATATTTTGCAACAATTTTTTTTTTTTAAACTTCGAATACATATATGTTGCATGTAAATTAAATTCATTTCAATAAATTAAAACTCCTTTGCTAAAATGAAAAAAGTTGAAAAATTCATCAAATATAACATATTTTTTTCTCATTTTATTTGCATCTTTTTTTTTAAAAATATCTTTTACTCATTTAATTATAATAATTAAATGCGATTTAATAAATTGAAATGAATTAAAATTGCTAAATTAAAATATTCCATAATAAGTGGTACTTTTAAAATTTTCACATGACCATAATGTGCTGCAACATGAATTGGTGTAATTTGTTGATTATTTTTGATTGCAATCCATGGTATTTCGGAATATTGTCGCGGTAAGCTTAGCAAATATTTGCAACATTTTCGTGCATCAAATCTTGCAACCCAATGTAAAACACTTTCCGAACATTCTTCACTATCAAATGATTGCCTGAAATAATGAAAATATCCAAGGCTAATTAATAATTATTCATATTTGAAATAAAAAATGCAAATCACTTCATTTGGAAGAGTTCAAATTTTATTAGACATAATGAAATTTCACTAAATTGTCATCTAGGTTTTTTAGATTTTATTTCATAAAAATCAATAACGAACATATTGTAAGGATTAAATCACACCTTGAAATAATTTGTAGTGCTCGTAGGCGATCATAAAGTAATGCATAGGTAAGTAAGGAACGTCCACGACGTCGTATCTCAAGTAATTGAGGAAATTGTTTAATAAGCTTTTCAAACTGTGTCACATTATTGTCTCGTAATAATTCGATTGATTCCAAAAATTTAGCGTTCATTAATATAATTTCCCAATTAAAATTTCCTTCAAAATTTGTAAACTTTAAAAGGAATTTTTAAAAAAAAAAGGCACGAAAACGTTTACTTATTTAAAACAATAGCAATATTGATTGAAATTTTGAAACAGAAAGTAATGGCGATATGATTAAACAAAGTTATAAGTTAAAATTCAATTATATCTTATCATCATTTGCCTTACTTACAATTATTTTCTCATTTACCTGTTTATTTATTAATTTTCTTACCTAAGAAAATAATTTACTTATATGTTCATGTATTTACTTCAAATTGTCCATCAACAACTTCTGCGACTGTCACAGCAATCTACTATTTAGTATTTAGTATCAGTAACAATCTACTCTTACTTCTAACCATCCTTACCTTTAAATGTTCAATATCATTTGACAATTCCTACTGCCTTCCCTTCTGCTACTTTCTGTCCCATGTATCACCCATCCTTCATGTATATGTGTCGTATGAGCGATGGTGGTGGTTTAATGATGCCGTGTCTACTGAATGCATGTATGTTTGACAAAAAGGGTAGTTCATTTCATTTCACAAATGTCGTCAGACAAAATGACGATATTTGGCAGAAAAGATATTGTCACATATCTAAGTGTCACCAGTAACCTTCATATGTTTGTACAACCAATCATGATAATTCCAAATCAAACTATGTAATTTCAAGTTTCAAACTACAAAATTTCAAATGAATTATCATAGTAACAAATTCTTTTTATAATTTTTAAAGCATAAATGTGTAAATTTTTAATTTCAAATAAATATGAAAGATTTGTTAAAAATGACAATGACATTTAAAGGTTAATTCTTTGATTTTCAAGAAATGAAATAGGAATATTCTCTCAACTATTAAACTATTCATCAATGATACATTCATTTCATTGTTTACTGAATACTTATTTAAACGTTACTATGTTACACTGTAATAGATTGACCTGTTTTGTGTCACATACTACGGTGATATATCATTGTGGTATATATTTATCAGGCATATCATTCTATTTTTGTTATTTAGATCAAGCTATAAATTTAAAAAACAAAACTTTAGGTAATAGCCTTAAAAAAAAAGAAAAAAAAACTGCAATATTTATTATCTTACATATCATCTGAAGGCAAATAATAAAATATTTTGTGATTTGCAAATTTTTGCGAATCAAAAGAATTAAATTTACAAGTATTTATGATTTCTTAAGAAGAGTTTTTTTTTTTTAATAAAACCACAAAAGACGTGAAGTGATGCGATTATTGCCATATTTAACGATAAAATTAAATCATTGTCAACTCATTTTAGCCATCCAATTCAAAACAATTCGTTTAGTCCGGTCAGTGTTGTAAAAAAAAAAACCAATTTCAGTTGATAATTGCGATAAAGTCCCGTAAATTCTTCAAAACTGTTTGGGATTTAAAAAGAAGTCTTCCCGCTCATTAACGACAGTTACTAAATGAGTGTCATTTTTAATTTTATGTAACAAAGATGATGTCATCTGGAAGATGAACAAGATTTCATCATCCCAAAAATATTGCGATGTGGAAGGGATATCATAATATAAGTTAATTTATCCCTGAATTATTACGATATAAAAGGTTAAGTTAATTTAATCTAAGAATACATCATTATGATTTCAATCTTTTATTGCAAATGATTTTATTCTTTTGTACTAACATTAAAAAATATTTGAAATGAATTTAAAATTGAATTATAAAGTTGCATGTATTGCTATTATTGGCAATCATTTGATGTAATAAAGGGAATAAGATGAGCAAATGTCGCTGGCAGTGACACTGGCGGTGACACTGGTGGTGGTTTTAGCAGACAAAATCAAGATTTTCGTTTCAGCGCTTTCTGGTCTTCATTTCATGATAGATTTAATTTTGGAATCCTTCATATTATGACAGGTATTAATTCCTATCATATTTAGGCATGAACTTTAGCCAGAAATGAAACCATTAATGGTAAAATCTCTCGGCGAAAAAAAAATGAAAAATTTTTGAACTGATTGACCCTTACTGGAAGTGAATGAATGAAGTGTCATGAATTGAAGGACAAAATTTTTCCATGAAGTATTGAAAAAATAAATGATGAAATGACCAAACAGCATTTGTAAATTTAAACTGCCAGAAACTTCAACTTCAAATTCAGTGTAATTTATTTATTGGAATTATTAACTAACAGATGAATCTTAGGAGGCTAGTTCTGCATACTTTTTGCCTCACCTAAAGAATCCATCAAAAGATGCATTTATATTTGTAGCCTTTGTAGGCTTGGATAGAGAGTCTTTCCCAAACCTTCGTTTGGGCCTAGCCATAACTACCAGCTATTGGCTACTTAGGATTGTTATTTCAATGCTAATTTATTGCTATTTATTATTTGAATTTAAAATTAATACGAGTTTTTTTCTAAGATTAATATTATTGCTAATTAATTTCTGATTTTCTTTGTCTTTTCATTCCTGTTCCTTCGCATAATGCATACCTATTGGAATATTGATTGATTCAAAGTTTTTCTATCACCAATAAACTTTCAATTTATATAATTCGTTATCTGTGTAGCAAGTTGAAGACAATTTGTGCTATGATTTTTAAATTGTTCAATTGTTATCGTTACTATGAATCATGGGAGAAAAAAAAAGAAACTTGTTTGCAATATTTGACATCATCTTCTGTGACATCACATTCTTTGATGAAAATATGAATAATAATATGTTGGAGATGATTTTCTAACAGGTATGAATAACAGTAACAGTAAATGATTAACAAATTACTTTGATCTTCATGTTGCATAAAAAGATTAGGAAGACAAAGTATAGATATTTCAATGATAATGAAAAAAAAAGAAAAAGAAAGGTAGGAAAATTCAGACAAATAAGTGAATATCGTTATTTTTTACCAGACAATTGGTAGTTTCAAATTCATTTAGTACAGTATGCTGCAAAAAAAAAAAGGGATAAAATTAAAAATTGAACGTCACACGTCACTCTCAGCAAGTTTGTTGTACAAAGGCGTACGTGAACACGCAAACGTGTTACGTGTGAATTTATTTTATTTTCTTTTTTTCCTACCACACCTTTTCTTTTTTCCCTTTTTCTTTTTCTTTTTTTTTGTTCTTCCTTATTTTCTTTTTCTAGTCTTTTTATCCTTTTTCTTTTCTCCTCTTTTTTTGAAATTTTTTCTTTTTTTCTCTTTTCTCATCTTTCAATTTTTCACTCCTTCTTTCAAAGATATGATATGCTGATAAGAAATGAACAGAGAGTACTTTTGTGCATTCGATTATCATTTCTCTACCAACCAAATCTTTTCATTACCGTAGCTATATTTCATAAATGAAGATATATGAAAGCTAATTCACCAACAACGACCGGACCGGAATACCCAAAGGGTTCCGGAGAAAGAAACGAGGTCCTTTTTGATAAAAAAAGAAAAAAAAGAGATTCCGCCTCTTTCTCTCTCTCGAACCTTTCCCGTCTCTCTGTTTCTATTTCTGTCGGAAAGAAATTGTCAATTAAATGTTACCTGAAATTCATTTTCTTTTTCAGGTAAAACGAAAAGATGAAGGATGACAGTATGCAAAATCATACTAACCTGAGACATTCTTTGAGACAGTTAACTTAAGAACAAGAACGTTTACTTCCATACTTCATCTTCTTAAAAATTTAAAAAATAAATAAGGAAATTACTCGTCACATTAAATGGATAGTAATGTCACAGTTATTTGACAATTAGTTATTTCTCGTTTTCTTGCATAATATATTGGAAATTTTTACAAAAAAAAAAAAAAAAAAACTGAAAATAGATCAATTGGAATTTTGGGAAGAAATTTTTTTGTCATTATTCAACGATAAATGAAACATAATTAGTGAATTATTTGTGAAAAGATTCTTTTTTTTTTCCCAACTAAATTTGTT